GACAAACTAAATAAAAAGTGTTCAAAGCAACAAAAGTTTAAGAAATCCATTGTAGAGTTCCGGGAAAAAATAAAGAAGGGTTGAGGAAAGAAAGGGTAAAAAGTGTATGAAGTCTATTACTTCAGGGGCAACAGGGTGGATTCTTTTGATTAAAAGGGCAGCAGGGTGCTGCGCCCTGTTTACCCTGACTAGAATGGGCTCTGGTATTGATACAAGATTAAATTTGACCTTTAATTTTTAGAACATCATCTATTTAACAGTATTTTTACAAGATTAAATTTTACCTTTGATTTTTATAACATCATCTATTTTACTGATTACTTAAACAAAATTGAATGAGAATATTAAATAGTATTGAATTTTAAACTATCTTTGGAGAAGCTATTTGAAGTAATTTTTTTTTTTTCATTTTAAAAACATTCAAAATAATTTTTTTTTTCATAAACACCACTCTTCGCTAGTTTTAAAATTTTTGTCAAAAGGTAAATACAGGGTATCTGCTACATTTTAGATTTTCAAATTCATGACTTTTCATGACTATTTCCAAGAGTTTTTCATGACTTAACAAAGTTGCTATTTTCTCGGACAAAAATGCAACAATAAATTAAAAAAAAGATTTTATTAACATTAATTGAAATTATAGGTATAACCAAAACTGCTATACTCTGCATTTTCATATTTAGATTTTAAATTTAAAAAACAGAGTAAAGAAAGAGTTGAAACAATAAAATAGCTGAAAAAATACAAAAGCAAATAAATTTTTTTTCCCTGTAGAATTATATTCTAAAGAAACTTTTCTTGCTCATCTAAAAGGAAAGAAATACTCCTGATTTTTCTGTTCTCATTTCGGAATTAAAAAAAATTCGCCAATGACTGGTTTGCTTCAACTAGAATTTTAAATTAATAAAGTTTTTAAAAAAATAAATAATAAAAATTCTTAAATCACAGAAGAGTTTAAAAGATAATTCCCTCTAGAAATGATGTTTTTTTTCCCTCATTTTTTGAAAGAACACCATGATTTTTAAAGAACATGATAAAATAACTTCATATTCTAATAAAATATGCCTGAGTGGTGATTTTGTTAGGAATTCAGATATTTGGAACAGGATGAAATTAGATTAATTGGAGCAAAAAAAAAATTTTGGAGTAGCAAAACAAAATTTTAAGCATATTTAATAAAAAAAATTAAAACAAGAATTTAATAACAAGAGTTTTTTGTTCATTAATAACATATCTTATTTTTTACACTTTTTTGAAGGTCCTTGCATAAACAAATTAAGTTTCTTTTTGGTATCTTCCAATACTGTTAAATATTCTGCTATCCTCGACTTAGCCTCAGATAAGAGGAATAGAATTATTAGGACACAGAATTTTTTTTTGCAGAAGATAAGGATGTCATCACATTTGTGGTATCTAGTGCAACATCTATTAAATTTGAATTTTGCCAAATTTCTGCATTTTCTACATACAAAGATTTTAAGTGCTTTCCTGTCAAACTAAGAAAAGCAGAACTCTTTAAAAAACGCCCTAACAATGTTTAAACTAGAGACACCATTTCATCATACAGCAAGTGAATCAATGGTGTCTCAGTTTGGAAAAGACCTAAAAATTTATCTAATATAGCCGAAATATTTCTTAAAAATGAGCTTTTGGCAAAAGCAATTTAAATAAATTCAATATTGAGTGGCTCATACTATTTTTTAAATTAATAATTACTTTATTTAATTCTGTAAAAGGTAATTTAAAACTCTAATTAATTTAACTATTAAAGGTTATTGAGTATATTTTTCTTAAAATTTAAATAAATGTTATTTATAGTAGTATATTCAACAAAACATTAACAAGATTAATATTGATCATACCGAATTTATAAAAATATGTAAAGAATTAAGCAAACTTTAATAAATTTATATTACTAATGTTAATTAGTGAATGGCCCCTAAATTTTTTTAATTAAAAACCTAGTACAGTATTCCATTAATGAAATAATTAAAAAAATTAAATAATTTTAAAATGCAAATACAATGAGTATTTTTTATCAGAAGCAAATTATTATACTGTCCCTACACTCATAATATTTAACACTCATAATATTTTTGAATGACAAATCTGAAAAGCATAAGATTTATTTGCTGCTTTAAAAATTCTGAAAGCCCCTTTCTTCATACTTATTTAAAATCTTGCCTCTAAATATTAAGTTTTTCCTAAAACAAAATAAGAGCACTGAAAATTTTGAAAGTAATATAATAACACAATAATAAAATGCAATAAGTAAAAAAAAATATTAGTAAAAGAAAAGTAATAAAGTATAAAAAAATGTTTACAAACAATTTGCAATTAGTGGATGGCCCCTCAGATAAAAATTTTTGTTTAAGAAACTCAATTAATTCTATCTTTATTAATTAAATGAATACAAGGGAGATGGAAATTTTGAGAAATGCTGAAAAACGATCTAAATGTCACATGGATTTAGGCTGAAATAGGCAAAAGCGAAAGATGCCAGATGATAATGGGCAATTATAAATCCCAAAAAACAATCAAAACACCACTTGGACTTAAGATGAAATCCTCTATTGTAATTGCGTATTAAAAACATTCGATCTTTTAAAACCATGTGGAATTTCATAGCAATATCCAATGAAAAAGCGATCGAGAAACAACATAGATTTACAATAGAATCAGTGTAAATTGAGCGCATTAAAAAATAATGATTCAAATAAACGATTTAAAATTTTCGGTATTTGTCATTGTCATATTTTACAAAAAAGAGAAATAATTTCACAGCGGTCAGAAGCTTCAGAGAGTCGCACATCAACAGCTGTCACTGTGTGCAACCCTAGTTCACAATTTTAATTTTAAAAAATTGTGCACAGCGAATTGTCTTCTAGCATGCCTTTTATTATTTTCATAAACTACAAATTTTTCTTTTATTTTAATAATGAGTGAGAATTACTTCTTGAAATAGACATAAAAAAATATGAGAGTGCCATTTTCTATGAGGAAGACACTTGGCCTTTTTAATTCTTGGGAGAAATCTGTATAATTATTTATTAAAGTTCTACTATACCTTTCGAAATAAAGTATTGAAATCCTAGTTATTTTAATTCTTTAAGAAATTCATAAAAAATGTTTCTGAAATTTTTCTATTTCTAACTGACTTAAAAATGATACATTATATACAGGGTATCTGCTACATTTTAGATTTTCAAATTCATGACTTTCCATGAATAATTCCAAGAATTTTTTATGACTTACCGAAGTTACTATTTTCTCCAACAAAAACAACAAATTTAAAAAAGCATTATAATAACATTAACTGAAATGATAAGTATAACCAGAAATGTTATACTCTGCATCTTCATATTTAATGATTTTAAATTTAAAAGATAGAGTAAAGAAAGAGTTGAAGCAATAAAATAGCTAAAAAAAATGAAAAATACAAAAGCAAATAACTAAATACAGTAAGATATATGTAGTTATTTAAACCTGTTTTAATTCTTCTTAAAAGTAAGTATAATAAAAAATGCCTAAACCAGAATTTTAAATTGAAAAAATAAATAGATAAAAATATTCTGAAATCACGGAAGTTTTTTAAAAGCTCTAGAGATGATGCTCCTTACTTCATTTTTTGAAAGAACGCCATAATTTTTAAAGAACAGGATAAAAACATTTCATATTTTAATAAAATATGACTATGAGAGGGGATTTCATGATAAATTCAGATATTCGGAACACTGAAATTGGGAGGGGGGGGTAAATTCCATTTTAAAAATTAGATTTTTCGACAACCTAAATTCATGACTTTTCATGATTTCTTTTCAAAAAATAGTTAAAATCATAACATTTCATGACAAATTTTGTTCAATACCGAAATCCATGACTTTTCAGGTGCGCAGATACCCTGTAATCTGGATCTTTTTCTGGATGGTTCTTCACTGTAGAAGAAAAGAAACCTGCCACCCCTGATGTTACACTGTGTGGCAGAATTTTTTTTGGACTTCCTGCGACACAGTTCTCTAGTTATTATAATATCTTTCTGCATTATACTTTAAATAATAACAAATATATATGTTACCAATTTAAAATATTTTTCTAATGTATACTCTTATTTTTTTATTAATTTTTCACGAACTTTATAATTTTAATCATTGAACAGACTGATCTAAATTCCTTCCTTTAAGCATATCATCACCTCCTGCACTGTGAAATAGGATAAAATAAACTATTTTAGCTCATTCATTACCGATTTAGTATTAATGATAACAAATAATAAATTTTCAAATGATAAAGAAAATATGAGGTCAGGAAGCAAAAATTAAAAATCAATCTTTATACCATACTTTTGATACCAAATTGCTAAAAAGAAAGATAAATAAATAAATAAGGAATTAAAAAAATTAAAGACTATAATTTTAATAATGAATTTAACTGAAAACATACAAGTGTAGGATGACTTACGTTAGGTAAAATTTTCGTTACTTTTGATTTCCAATTTCTTAAAAATGAACTTCTATTTCGTTTTTAAAATATAACTAGCAGTTTCATTAAGAATAGAAAACAACGAATTTAAAATCAATTGAAAGTCATGGTTATATGAACACTTTTGGAAGCCAACTGTTATTCTAGAATTCTAGTTGTTCGTGAAAATGGTTATCACCAAAATAGTGCTTTTTAAAGGGATATTTGCAATCTTTCTAGAAGTTATCTTAATGCGCAACTAATGATAATAAAATAATTTAAAAAATTTATCTATAAGAAGTAAATTGCAATTGAATACTAGTGAAATTTCATAAAGTATCTATTGAATAGTCGAACATTCTAAACCTAACATTTTAAAATCAATAAACATGCATACATACGTTCGATTATTCTATAATGAAATGGAAAGTAGCTTGATAGATCGAGATGTCACATAACAGTAACCCGGAATGAAACAATTTAATTTTTCCTTTAAAAATTCGAATGCACGGAACTTAAAATCATTTGAATAAAAAACTTACCCGCTCTTTGGCACGCCCGGCATGTTTTTGAAGAACTTTAGAAAATGGATTAAGATCCGCCATAGGAACTATCTTTAATTAATCTAAACACTAAAATAAAATCTTAAACAATAATAAACGCAAATTATTAAACTAGCATGGAAATTCGAACTTAACACAACCAAATATGAGATCTGTTTGGAACATTTGATTATTGCCAGATTCAAAAGCCAAGAAAAGCACCAAGTCTTCCACAGGTGGCCTATTTGATTGGCTGTTATCATCATCGTTTTCATATTCATAATCGTTTTGTTATTCAGAAACGCAGCGAACTATAGGGGGCGTTGTTACTTGAGACGAATGACTTCTAGAAGAACAACACGATCATCAAAAGACTAGAGATGTCTTCAGTGCACCATGGCAACGTTCCTTCTTTATTGTGTCTTATTAAATTCAAAAAAGAAAAATTTTTGATATTCTTTCTTATGCAAGTAATCACAAAATGGAATCGCTTTCTTTTAGAGAAGAAACATCCAAAACATATCGGAAAATATTTGTAAATAAACAGAAAAAAATATGCATCTTCCTGTTAGAGTTAAAATTCAATGCCTGCGATGTCATTCTATTAAATGCAGAACCGTTTTTAAGGATGGGGCCCCAGAAAAGTCTAAAATATCATTGCATTGCTTTTTCTTTTAATTCTGACTCATTTATTATTTGTAACTTAAAAGGGCCCCCGGATCCCACCTTTTTTCTTCTTTCTTACAATTTTATTCGGAACTGGAAAGTAAGAAATCTGAAGCTGTTGTTGTTAATTTACGTCGCACTAGAGCTGCACAATGGGCTATTGGCGACGGACCCGGAGGATGATCCGAAGGCATGCCATCACAATTTTGATCCTCTGTGGAGGGGATGGCACCCCCGCTTCGGTATCGCGATGACCTGCGCGTGAAGTCGAGCACTTTACGGTAGCACAGTTTAACGAGGACCAATACCGCACACCCTCGGTCCCTACGCAGACTGATCCAAGTGGTCACCCACCCGCACACTGACCGTAGCCAGTGATGCTTGACTTCGGTAATCTGCTGGGAACCGTGTCTTAACGATCAGTCCACTGCGGGACAAGAAATCTGAAGCAACAGTGTTAAAATGAATATTAAGGTTGCTTCAGTAATTTAAACAACATGGAGAGAAATATATCTTTTTTGTTTTTAATATTTTGTGATTTTTTTTCTGTTTATTTATTTAAATCACGGGCCACTATTCAATTCCCTCTTTGACAGGCCGGACTGCCAAAATTCTTGATTTGGTCTATTCTGGATGAAATTGAGATAACAAATGTAATTTTATTTTAATTTTACTCACTGCTAATAGACAAAAATAACATGTGATTTTGTTTGATTGAGTATTGAAATCAAATTATCATCAGCTGAACAAATGTTTAAGCATGAGAAAAAAAATTGTTTAAACCTCTTGTATGACCAAATTTTCCATGCTTCCCCTAAATATGAAATATTTTGATTTGTTATATTGTATTTCGTACACAAAATTAATTTATTTAGTTAGCGTATGATTTTATTGTTTATTGATAATATTTGTTTCTATTTTTAACTCCTTGATTTTTGTTGTTATTATGTGTTTAAAGTTAATAAGGCTTCTAAATTTTTTAATTAATAAGGCTTTTAAATCAAAGTCGAAACAATTTCTTAAAATTCTAAATCGAAACTATATATGAAATTTTGACTGCTTTGTTTTTATTTTAAACGTGTGAATTTAATTTAATAAAATAAAAAAGAATGTAAATAAATGACTGGGTAAAATAAACAACGTTGTCTTATCATCTTTTATACAATTTGCGTTTGAGTATTAATAAATTACTTAAAAATAAGCGAATTTTTATTTTAAAAGGTACAAAAAATTTTTGATTTGCTTAGAAGGTAGATTAAGATTATTATGCCCCATCATTCGATTTAATATCTGCTCTTAAGGATCAGATTTCTTCTTTTATTTTACTTTAACATTGTAAAAATGATATATATGTAATACTTTCATGTGATATGCTGCAGTTTTAAATACCTAAAAAATGACTGAAATGGTCAATTCAAAAAACAACTACTTAATACTTTTGAACATGAATTTAAATAACTCCACACGTTTTGTTTTGCTATCTCATTTCATATTATCACAGTATTTAGAGCAGACAGTTGCTTGTGGGTGTTTGGTGTTTGGATGATATAAGTAAAAGAGGCATACAAAAAAAAACAATTTAATTTCAGTTAATGCCCTCAATATTATATTTTTAAACTTCTCGCAAAAATGTAGAAAAAAAATAATTGTCGCAAGCAAATTTACATTAAGTAAGAACGAAACAAAAATGATATCGAAATATGCTGAATCACTAGTAAGACAGGTGGGATGAAAGACATCGAAACCAATTTGATTGACTAGTAGAACTAGAAGGTGTTTCTAAAATCCGGAAATCTATCAGACTTAAATATTTTTTCTGTCACAAAATTTATCAGGAGCTATTCGTTATATTTCAATATGGGTTATGTTTTTTCTTTGATTAAATATTAACAAATATTTGCCTTTTAAAACTTTTCGTTCTATAATAAAAATAATTATTCTATAATTGTAATTATTTAAAACTAATTGCTAATTGATATAAAGCTTTAGTGTGCTCCATTGATATATTGAATGCTCGGGGCTGTTGCTCTTTCACATCCTAGCCACTGTACACCATCAAGAGCAGAACTGATACTTCAAATCCGCATCACATTTATTCTATCTGATGTTTCATGGCCCTTTTAATATATCCTTAAAAATATAAGCCGAAAATTTACATAAATAATAATAATTTTTCATAATAATGATAATTTGTAATTTTACATAAATAATAATAATTTTTATTCTTGCACAAAAATTTAACAAATGTACTTAAAGCAATTAAAAAGAATGCAAAAATAATGAAGAAATACTTTGAACACAAACATCAATTGAATAATATCAGCTTACAAAATAGGTTTTTTTTTTTTTTTTTTTTTTTTTTTTTTTTTTTTTTTTTTTTTNTTTTTTTTTTTTTTTTTTTTTTTACTAACAGTATTAGTAAAACGGCCCTCACCTGCTCAAGGGTGTAGGGCTTAGAAGAAGAATAAAAAAATATTTGTACATTTACTCATTGAGAATTGTATTAAAATCAGGAATATATAAAAAAAAAACTTTTTTTCAAAAAATACACACTTTTTATGTAAATTAAATGTAAGGTATTAATTTCTAATTCCTTACTATTTCTAAATTCATAGCATCGAAATATTTATTTAAATATACAGAAGAAAATTAAATGAATTTGGTATACTTAAGTTTAACTGCATTGTTTAATAAAAATAATTTATCTGTAATATTAATATTTAAAACAAGTGTAGAAGTCAAAGTGTAAGAAAATGGCCTTATTTCCAAGATCGGATTTGACATTCAATTGCTAAGATCCATTTTAAGTTATTCTGACTAAATAGTAAAGGCGGAAGTAGTAGAATACTAAATAACGCACGGAGAAAAAATTACGACATTTCTTGCAAAAAAAGAAAGAAAAAAAAAAAAAAAAAAAAAAAAAAAAAAAAAAAAAAAAAANAAAAAAAAAAAAAAAAAAAAAAACAGTCTTGGAAACAAAACCAAAATATATGGTATTTAAACCATTCATTAGGTAATTTTTCTGTTCGCATAGCAACAGTTTTTCGAAAATTCTGGTTTTCAAAATTATAGCTCTTTTTACCACACATTTAATAAAAGTGCAAAACTATAAAATGAAATTTTCCGAGTTAGTTATTATTATGCCATGCTCTAAAACAGCGGTTCCCAATTATTATTTACGCTTCCCTCTACGGAACTCTAAATAATCAGTCTGCTATCGGCGGAACCCCGACATTACGATTGAAGTTTATTAAGGTAATTGCGAACGTTATAACCTAAAAACAGAGTATTTTTAAAATATTTAATTAGAGGAATGAAGATTTTTCATCCTTTTATCATTAACAATCTTAAATAAGGCTTTATATCCGATAGTTAAATTTACAGTCCTATTGCTATATCTAGTCTAGTTTTGAATTTATTTTTGGTGTACATGATAAGCTGAAAATGAATAAGATAAGCCGAATTATGGTTTACTTCTAAATGAACTGAAGATACTTGTTATAAACTTTAAAAATAGTAATTTGGAAAGCATTTTTCCTTAAAAAAGAATTTAGTTATTTTATTTTAATTTGAAAAGTGCGGTATGAAATACTTATGTAATATTTTATAAATGCTTATTCTTTTCCTAATTTGTTCAACATATTGTTTTGAGAAATATATTTTCCTTTAAAAGAATGCCATTTCTATTTAATCGGTATTTTACTTCAAATAAATTATTAAAGGATACTGAAAGATTATATAAGGTATGATTTATATGTTGGATCTAAATATAATCAGAGATTACAAAAAGAACTTATAAAATTGTTCATCCCCGGTTATAAAAAGTACTAATTCGCGAAACTTTTTTAACTCTCCCAGAACCCTAAAGTTCCATTGAACACAGTTTGGAACTGCTTCTCTAAGGTATCATGATAAAATTACTAAAATTCCTACCGAACAGGATGGTAAAGAACTATATTTTTATTTTGTTATTTTCATGAGAGGTCATAACCAAATCGCTACGGAAAAAAAGTACCCTGTTTTTCGGTGCTACTATAAATACCGTGAATTATACTATATTCTAATAGTTTTGACCATACTTTTTTCTCAGTGCGGTCAGTACCACAATTCATAAAAGGTACTGGTTCACATTTCAACATTTCATAAAAAGTACTGTATTGCAGCATGCAAACAGATATGTTTTTCTCAAAATTTCAGAGAGCTTTTTTGACAAAAATTTTTAAAAAAATTATTTTTTCGCAAAATTGAAGGAAAAAAGAAACATTTATCTAAAAGTTTTACATAAGGAACATGTCTGGAAATTTTCAACAAAATCAAGAATGTATCCAAATTACTTAATTTATAAAATTTTTCAAAAAAATTAAAAAAAATATATATATCTGCAAGGCAGGTATTTATATTTGGGGCTGTTGATTATGAAATCTAACATAAAACTGTGAGATCGTGAGTTCTATTCCAACTGATGATTCCCTCATTCTCCTCCGAATGAGGTGCACCGAGTTCGAAAACCAGTGATGGCTGGTCGATATGAATTTCACACCCGGCTTACATCGACCACGGGTCGAC